AGTTTTATAATTCTAAACAAACCAAAAAGAGACCTATATATCATTTATGGATAAACACACACACCCATCTTCAAAAGTATGAAAAATAAACCAGAGAGCCTCACAGCAAACCCATAATTGCTGCCACCAGGAAATATGAAAGGAAAGAAAAGAACAGGACCAGGGGTTGCTATACAATGTGACTTCAACTACATTCAGTATTTATTAAAAATATTTACTGAAGACCTACTATACATCCAGCATGCTTTAGGTCTTAGAGACTCAGCAGTAGATAAAAACAGAAAACATTCCTGCTTCATCTGAGGAGAGACAATTTAAAAATAAGAAAAATGTAATAGTAAGTGGTGATAAGTGCTAAGAAGAAAGATCAAGCTGGGAAAGGAAAAAGAGTGACGCTGGAGTGCTGTTTTAGAAAGCCTAGCTGAGGAAGACCTCTGTGCTAAGGAGACACTTGAGCAGAAACCGGACCAAGCAGGCAAGCACCACATAAGCAGAGTAAGGGGAAAGTATGCAGAGACCACAAGTGCAAGGGCACAGTGACAGGGGCACACCTGGCAAGTTCACACAGTGACAAGGAGACCAGTGAGAGTGACTGGAGTGGGAACGGGAGAAGTGGGATAGGAAATGTTGAGACAGCAGGGGAGAAAGGGTGGGAGGGAAGAGAAGGGGTAAGAGGTAGAAGAGCCCCCAAGGTAAGAATTTTTTAAACATATTTTTAAAGAATTTTTTTTAACAAAAAAAGGGAAGAAGATTTTTGTCAGACATATGAGGCCCACATGCCTCAAGTATTTACTACCTGGTTCTTTTACAAAAGAGTTGCAGCCCTGTGGTTTGGAGCAAACCAGTCATGATAGGAGGAGGAGGATAGGAGTCTAAATAAGATGAGGATGGGGCAGATCAGAAGAGTGATACGAGGAGGTTAAGGCCCAAGAGGTGGAGATATCACCACAGTTTTGGCCTGAGCAACTGAAAGAAGGACACTGCCATACACTGAGATGGAGGGTCATATCTGTAGTGCTTTATTTTATTAGAAGAAAGAAAGAAACCAGGAAGACTTAAACCAATGACATATAACTTTAACAGCTACTACACTAATTCTGAGTATTAGGAACTTGAGTGCTTGTCTATTATTTTTTAACTTTGGGGGTGTTGGGGGATTCTTTGGGGGGGGGGTTGTTTTGTTTTGATTTTGGTACTGGGGATTGAACCCAGGGATAATTAACCACTGAATCACATCCTCAGCCCTTTTTATTTTTCATTTTGAGAAAGAGTCTCACTAAGTTGTTTAGGGCCTCTCTAAGTTGCTGAGGCTGGTGTTGAACTTGCAATCCTCCTGCCTCAGCCTCCTGAATTGCTGGGATTACAGGCATGCACCAACCTGCCCATCCTGGATTTTTTTTTTTTTCCTTATTTCTAAGAGTTCTAAATCTGGTGTTTTTTTTTTTGTTTTGTTTTGTTTTAGTTTTTTTTTTTTTTCTTTTTAGTTGTTGATGGATCTTTATTTTATTTATTTATATGTGTGCTGAGACTCGAACCTAGTGCCTCACACATGCTAGGCAAGTGCCCTACCACTGAGTACAACCCCAGCCCTGGTATGTTTTTATATAGACTTGTTTTTTCATGTCCTTCCTTCCCTGCACTTCACCACTACCATCCTAACCCACACCCCTTTATAACTCTCACCTGAATCAAAGCAACAGCTTCCTCATTGGTGTCCCAAGTCCTACCTCCTCCTCCTCCAATCCTGAAGTCTAGAATATCCTTTTTAAAAAGGCTGGGTGGGGGGCTGGGGATGTAGTACCATCTGTGGTAGATGATTTGCCTAGTTTGCACAAAGTTCTGAGTTCAATCCCACCACAAATAAAGGCAGGGTGGAGTTTGAATTGCAGCTCCACCACTGTCTGAGAAATTTGCTTAGCTTCCCTATGTCTCCATTTTCCTATTTGTAAATGTTGGTAATAGTTGGAAGAGTAAATAAATTAAGATATGTAAAGCACACAGGAAAGAACCTGACAGCATTAAGTAAATATTAGCTAAAATTACTGAAACATAAATCTAATGTCATACCCCTGTTTAAAATCTTTCAGTAGCTTCATTCACTTAGAATTAAATCTGCATTCTTTATCTGACAGCCTGCCTAGCTCCCTCTTCACTCCCCTTTTAAGCCACACACTCAGGTCTGGGCAGCTCAGTGCCTTCCCTTCTGCTAGGCAACTATCCCTACAAGCTGCTGCAGAAGATTTCCTCAAAGAGGTTGTCCCTGGCCACATGCTTTCCTGAAACTTTGTCCACCCCATGCCCCACATCTACCCAACCCCTTGCCCTCAATCTTTTGATTTCCTTAAACACATTTAGCATAATTTGCAGTTATTTTATATACCTGTCTAGGGTTTTCCTTGTCCATCTCCCCATCTAAGCATAAGCTCCATCAACACAGGAAATTCATCGGCCTTATCCACCACTTATTCAGCACAGAGCTTGGCATTTGGTAGAAACCATATCAACATTTGAATAAATAAGTGACTATGGGGCTGGAGTTGTGGTTCAGCAGTAGAGCACTCACCTAGCATTTGCGAGGCCCTGAGTTTGATCCTCAGCACCACATAAAAATAAAATAAAGGTTTGTGTCCAATTATAACTAAAACAAAGTATTATTTTTTTAAAGTGACTAGGGCTGGGATTGTGGCTCAGCGGTAGAGCGCTTGCCTAGCACATGTGAGGCCCTGGGTTCGATTCTCAGCACCACATAAAAATAAATAAAACAAAATAAAGGTATAAAAAAAAAAGAGTATGCTCTAAACAAAATCTAAAAGGACATATCATGTCCACTTTTTAATCATTCAAAAGTATAGTGATAAGCCTATCAAAACTATTACAACATGCCATATATATGTGTATATATATATATACAAAGTTATTATTTATTTTTTAAAGTTCAGTGGCTTTTAGTTTCCTATGAACAGACTGAAAGTATAGGTTACATTTTGTTTTACATTTAATATAAATTAATTGTGTCGGGGCTGGGGATGTGGCTCAAGCGGTAGCGCGCTCGCCTGGCGTGCGTGCGGTCCGGGTTCGATCCTCAGCACCACATACAAACAAAGATGTTGTGTCCGCAGAAAACTAAGAAATAAATAAATATTAAAATTCAAAAAAAATATTAAAAAAAAAAATTAATTGTGTCATTTAAAATAAATACATAGGGCTGAGGTTGTGGCTCAATGGTAGAGTGCTCTCCTAGCACATGAGAGGCACTGGGTTCCATCCACAGCACAAAGGTATTGTGTCCATCTACAATTTGAAAAAAATATTTTTTAAAAAATAAAGGGCTGGACTGGGGTTGTAGCTCAGTGGTAAAGCGTTTGCCTCACATGTGTGAGGTACTGGGTTCAATCCTCAGCACCACATAAAAATAAAGATATTATGTCCATCTACAACTAAAAAAATATTTAAAAAAAATAAAAAATAAAAATAAATAAAGGTCTAGGGCTGGGGATGTGGCTCAAACAGTAGTGCGCTCGCCTGGCATGCGTGCGGCCCGGGTTCGATCCTCAGCACCACATACAAACAAAAATGTTGTGTCTGCCAAAAACTGAAAAATAAATATTAAAAATTTAAAAAAATTAAAAATATATGAATTTCCCTCTGGTCTCATTTTTAAATAAATAAATAAATAAATAAATAAATAAAGGTCTAGAATTGTAGCTCAGTGGTAGAGCACTTGCCTAGCATGGGTGAGGCCCTGGGTTCAATTCTCAGCACCACATATAAATAAATTAATGAAAAAAAAATCCATAAACAATTTTTAAAATATTTTTAAAAAATTGGGCTGGGATATAGCTCAGTGGCAAAGCGTCTGCCTTGCATTCGAAAGCCCTGGGTTCGACCCCCAGTTCCAAAAAAGACAAAAAAAAGAACCCCACCAAAAAAAATAAATAAATAAGATTAAAAATAATAATAATAATAAAATAAAATAAAATAAATACATAAATTCCCTCGGCTGGAGGCAGGAGGTTGGGGTAGGTTAATAGTAAAGCTCTTGCCTAGCAAGTAATAATAATAATAATAAAATAAAATAAATACATAAATTCCCTCCCGGCTGGAGGCGGGAGGTTGGGGTAGGTTAATAGTAAAGCTCTTGCCTAGCAAGTACAAAGTTCTGGGTTTGTACGCCACACCCAAAAAAAAAAAAAAGGCAAGACGGTTCTTATCAGTATACTATACTATTTGTCCATAAAAATTATTTTCTAATTTTAGAAAGTGAAGATAGACAAAACTTTTGTAATGTCAAGAAATAAAAAGGCATATAGTGAAAAGTTTCCTCTTCACTTATCTTCCCCATCACCTCCCCAAATAGGTAGCCACTGTTGTTAGTTCCTTGTAATTTTCATGTGTATTTTGGAGCTCTTTCTGTATCAATTCACAAAGAGCTTCCTGATCCTTTCTACAATTTCACAATTTCATTCACCATCTGGGCATGTTGTTATTTATCTAATCAGTTTTCTGCTGATGAACAAAGCAATGAATACTTTTTTTGCCTATATTAGCTCACACATGGACATATGTATCTGCAGGCTTGAATTCCTAAAACTGGCACTGCTGGGTCAAAGGATTTCTATATTTGTGATACACCCCCAACAGAGCCCAGGGGTAGCTCTACCACTGAGCTACACCCCAAGCCCTGCTACACTTGTAATTTTATACTGACCAACGTCCTATATATATTGGGGTCCACCCAGAGAAATAGCCATCTCTTTAAGGGTCTGAAACTGAGGGAATTTAATATAAGGAGTTGGTTACTTATGTGATGGAAAACAGAAGTAAAACAAGAAACAGTAAGACAGCCTGGAGATTAGCAAGAGCAAGAAGATGCTCCCACCTCTTGGTTGCAGAGTAGACAGGAAGAGGTATTTCCAAAGCTCAGGTGCTGGGGCCAAAAGGACAAGGCAGTTGCAGAGACACTGTCTGAGGCAGTAGGAGGGGGAGAGTAACAAAACCACCTGGTTTCCCTCTTCCTCCTGCCATACAATCTCCCACCAGTGGCTCCCACTGGCCAAATCCAGGTGGAGGGCAGGTGACCAAGGACCGGGGAAATGCTGCCTGTGGAGGTGAATCCCTCTGCAGGGGGAAAAGGCAAGAAATGGATTTAAGCCAATAGGACACAGGGTATATTGAGCCTCCCTGAGACCCATGACTAATTTATACTCCTACCAGTAAATGCTGAGACAGTCTTGCCAACATTCTGCTTTCAAACTTGGGGGTTATCACTTGTCTGACATATGAAAGACAGAATCTCAATCTAATCTTAATTTATATTTATTTTATTTTGAGTGAGGCTGAGTGTCACTTTGAGCCAGACTTAATCCTCACCTATACTGATGGGAATAAGTGGAGACAGGAAGGGGAACCAATTTAACTTAATACACCTCATTTGCCATGGACAATCCATTCAGGAACATCAATCAGACAAATGATGGCAAGGTGCCAAACTAGCCAGTCACCTTCCAAGTAGAGACATATCCAAAAAAACTGTTGAAAAGAGAAAGGCAACAAGTGCCAAAAGAATTACAAATACCTTAACTACACTCTGCACACATTTTAAGAAACAATGTGTTCTTGTAATCTTGTACCCCCAACTGGCTCCTCCTTGTAACTGCCTTCCAGCCATTCATGCCGCCATCCTCTCCTTATCTTGCATCGAAAGAACAAAGAATTACATCCTGAACAAAAAGTTATATTATAAAAGCAGCAAGTGAGAATCAACTTTTAAATAAAATTTTAAAGTACCCAACCAAAACATTAATAAAAAAGATCTTTTAAATAATCTTTGGCCTCTGTCATAACTACTGTATGAATAGATCATTTACCTCATCTAAACAAGCTGAAACTGACTCCCCAGACACAGTTCAAAGTTCTTTCCTACACTCTAAAGATATACCAAAAAATGTTATGCTTTACAATCAACTGGCAACTGAAATTGTTCTCTTTCAAAAGGCTGAACTTCATTTTTTTTCCTTTTTCTTTCTTTCTTAATAGTGCTGAGGATTAGAACCCGGCCTTGTGAATGTGAGGCAAGCACTCTATCAACTGAGCTATATCCCCAGCCCTTGAACTTCATTTTTTAAAACATGAATTTTAAAGCAAAACTTTTTTTTAATCTGGGCTGGGGTTATGGCTCAGAGGTGGAGTGCTCGCCTGGCATGTGTGTGTGAGGCACTGGGTTCAATCCTCAGTACCACATAAAGTACAGTGAGGATACTATGCTCACCTATAACTAAAAAATAAATATTAAAAAAAAAACTTTTTTTAATCTAAGTGATGTTAACTGTACAGAACTATAAAAAGGTGTGTTAACTTCAAAACCTCCAACAATCAACAGTACATCAAGTTTATACAACAAGCACTAAAAATGACTCATATTTCAAAACTGTGAAAGATTTTTATTTGATTCAAAATTACTTATTCTTCAATTGCCAAACATATTCTTAAATGTCTTTCACAATTCAAGGAAGAAAGATTTTGATAAACCAAACCAATAAAGGTTAAAAGTTTGGCAGCACCTAGCATGCTGCCTGGCATTTTAGTAGACAATAAATATCTGTTCATTGTTCAATGCTCCAGTGAGATGAGTTAAATCATCCTGTACATGTAAAACATCTGCATGCCTTTTATAAACTGAGTTTCTTTTTCAAATTTGAAAGTAACACACACTTTTTTCCATAAACCTGGAAAATGTAAAAACTAAAAAAATAAAACATATTATTACCAGTTTTTTCATTGTTTAGACTAGGATGTAAAGCTGCTTATGTTTAATGGCTGAAAATGTTTCCCTCACAAACTTCCCAAATTTAACTCACCATTCTACTATTGAACATTACTGTTTCCAATTTTTTACAATTATAGTGTAATACATACTGTCACACATCATATATATTTTTGAATTTCAAGGTTGTTTCTCTGTGACACTTCCCAAAAGAGATATTAATAACCCAAAGATAGTTTTAAGCCTTACTGATACCTAATATCATCCTTTGTTATGGTTCTGGAGAGCTATAAATAGCTGCAGCACACTGGCCCCCCCCTTTTTTATTCTTTATACCTGCTTTTTACCTTCAAGTGTTCCTCATTTCTTTAGTCAGAGTCAGAAGCACTTTCCAAACAGAATCGCCAAGCCAGCTACCTCCTTGACTCTAATGTCAAATGTTCAAATATTACAGTTGTTTGTCTTATTTTATTATAAGGGGAAAACTGCTATGCCAAATTGTGCTGGGCAAAAAGCAGGGCATCCAGGGAATCCATTACTTAGGATCCGGTGTCTCCAGACGAACAGCCAGGCTGTAGGAGGGTTTGCAACTGGGCTCCTTCTTTACACAGCATTCTCCTTCATAAACAACACACCCACTCGGTGCCACAGTGCTACCCCTGGCTTTAACTATGAGAACTGAACTTGCCAAATGCCATGACTGGTGCCAACTTCCCACCAGTCCTGCCGCACCGCTTCTTTCAGCAAAAATGATTTCCTTCTGAGCAGCACTTGCATTCTAGAAGGCACCTTGATTAACCACTTCATCCGGAACCCTTCAATACTGCTGATTCTTACAGGCAGCTGCTCCGGCAGCCTGTAATTAAGATTTTTCTAAACACTCCCTTATTACACGGGGTTCTGATGATTCGGTCTGTCAGCAAAAAGGAGATCGTTAGCCAAAGGATAGAGCGCCTCAACTTGGGGTGTTCCTGTAAAAAAATATGGGCATTAACCCTTTGCTTTCCAAATCAATGGACCCACTCCCCATACAGGGAGGCACGTTACTCAGTTTTGAAACCTAATTCACAGCATGACACGACAGTAATTTGTATTCCACTAAATAATTGACAACAAACACGACCCTTCCTGCAAGAGGACGCGGAATGTCGGACACACAACCAGGGCCACGCAGGGCACTGGCACGACCCACTTCGGAAAGGTGTCTTCCGCACCTGATCTCGGGGCTCCCCTCCGCTGCTGGCTGGGCTCCTGTCGCCCACCCTCCGCAACACCGACTCGTTTTTCTGCTTACTCTGTAACCTTTGCTCTTTCATAAAATGCGTGCCCAGACCTGGACTGGAGCTGCCCCCGTCCTCGCCTAAGCAATTTCCCAGAGACCACTCCGGATCTAAAGCCAGGAAAACGGTCCCGATTTCCAACCTCCCCCCATCCCTGCTGGACCCCGGAGGAGCCCCGAGAAAAAACTTTCCCCTCCCGGGTTCCCACCCGCTCGCCCGCTCCCACCACCTGAGAAGAGCTGCTGCCTGGGGTCGTCCAACACCTCTCCGGAGGGCGTGGACGCCCTTGGCGACAACACGCGAGGAAGGTCGCCCCGCAAGGTCCCCGCCCCACCAGGGCGACCCCCACCCCTCCGCGAGACCCCGGCCGTGGCGACCCGCCTCACACCCGGACCCTCCCGTGCGCTGGCCGGCAACCCCTCCGCGGCCCGCCCCTCCCCGGGGCCGAGCCCCCGCCTCGCCCCGTGTCCGCGCGCCTCAGGCCTCCGCGGTCACCAGCCCGCAGCGACGCCGCCCGGACGCGTCTCCTCAGGCGACCCCGGCCCCAGGCCGCCGGCTGGCCGGCCACACCTCCGACACTCACCGCCGCCGCCCTCGCCGCAGCCGTCTTCGTCCATCTTGAGGCCACTCCCGCGGTCGGCGAGCCCGGGGCGGGCGGGCTAGGAGCCGGGGCGGGGGGCGCCGCAGAGCGAGCGCTTGGGTGGACGGGCGGCTCCACAGCGCGCGGCCCGGGTCGCGGCCGGGCCTCCTCCGGCCGGGCGGGGCTCACCGCTCGGCGCGCCGTCACGTGACGGAGGCCCCGCCCCCCCTGTGGCGGTGGGCGGGGTCCGCGGTGGCTGCCCCGCCCGCGGGAACACGCCCGGCCCGGCGGCTTCTGCGGTGGCAGAGACCTGAGACCCTCAAGCTCAGGCCCCCAGAGCGCGGCTCGAGACCCCTCACCCCTGCCCTCCAGCAGCCTGAACAGGAACGGAGGGTCCGAGACGTGGGGACGTCCCACTCTACGAAACCCGGTGGCCGGGTGTCTAACTCGCACGTGCACTCCGGGGGCGAAAAAAGATCTAGGAATGAAAGCACTGAGAAGTCAGACCTTGCCCCTCCTGCCCTAGGACCTGTCCTGGAACTGATGACAGCCTTTCAGCTTTTTGAAATATAATGAAACCTCTCCTTTTTCTGACCATGGGTGCATCTTTAAATTAACAAAGTGCAAGGCATATAAATGAATGTTGTCCTGAGGTAGGAACCGAATCCCAATCCAGCACACCTGGGGTGCAGCCCTCAGAGGACTTTAATAGGGGTTGGCCAGACTGGCGTCAGATGCCCTTGGAGTTTAGCGCCAGTCTCCCTTGGATTGCTGCCAGCCGCCGGGATTTATGATGCAGAAGGAGCTCTGAATTCAATTTCACGTGGGCACAGCCAGGAGCTGGGCGGAAGGCTTAGCTCCCCCCTATTCCAAATCTATGGATTGTCTTTCTCTGATATCTCGTTTCCAGTAATTCTTCTTGAAACATTGAATGTGGGCCATTCCAAGCCTTCTGCTAGAACAAAATTGCATTAAAGAAAAGCAAACATTGTAATGGAGGAGATAGTTCATCTCTAATAGAATTTTCCAGCAACTGTTTTATATTTACAAATTGCCCATTGAATCAAAAGATCCTTCTGCCATCATCTATCAAAGCAGACAGTTTTCAACCTTTTTGTTCAAAGTCATGGGATGATTCCAAAGAGTTCAATTTCCTAATAACCTCAAGAATTAAACACCCAGCATTCTGGTGCGTCCTAAACTGTAGGGACACTTCTGGGTGTAGATAAAATGTTTGGCAGTTTGTGTGACAAAGATGCAACAGGAAAAGGATCTGGGAGTCAGGAGATATATGTCCAAGTCCCAACCCACAGATGTGGCTTCCTGATCTTGTTCCTGTCAGCTTTGTTATCTAGAGATAAGAGCATCATTACTGAGGGGAAAAAAAAAAAAAAGACAGCATACTTTGAACTTGATAATGTGCTATGTAGAGCTTTGAACTCAAAGATATTATCAATTATAAATGCTTTTCAATGTCAATTCCTAATTCTTTGGTCTCCTTAAAGTGTGATCTATAGGTACTTCTCTCCAAGTTTGAATCCCAAAATTGTGATCTCCATCTAATCTAATTTCCATATGAAACACAACCCAATTATTTGTAAGCAGAATATATCATCCCACAGGTTATCCTGTGCTCCCATTCCAACAAATCCTGCAAAAGTGTTGGGAGAAATCGGGCACAGCAGTGCATGCCTATAATGCCAGATACTGGGAAGACTGAGGCCAGTCTCAGCAACTTAGCAACACCCTGTCTCAAAATTAAATAAATAAACAAAACAGCTAGGGATGTACTCAATGGAAAAGTACTCTGGGTTCAATTTCCAGTATCAGAACAAAAAAAAAAAATGGTCCTGGAAGAATAAAGGCTTAGGGTGTCTTTTCTACACTTTACTGGGGAAATTGGAAGACTTTAAAACCTTCACAACGCAAAGGAATCAATATTTCAGAGAAAAATTAGCTTTTTTAAAAAAGAGGTGATTTCTGGTGTTTCTTGAATTCTACTGTTAGCAGTTATCTGCTTACATTAATGTTACTCTTACATGCAAGAACATTAAGTATTCTAGTTATCCACTAAGATAGGCACTCAATTATTAGCAGTTTGCTCAGATGATGAAAGTCATATAAGTGAATTTGCAAGGAAACTAATTTGTGCAGCAGACTTTGCTCCAAGATAATAATATTAAACCCAGCTATTACATTGTTGCTGTCACTCAGCCAGACAATAAAGATTTAGATACCTCCTGCATTCATCTCTGTTCTAGGTGCTGGGAATACAGTGAAGTCCCTGTCTTCCTGGGACTGATGGCCTAAAAGCCATTAAGCAAGTAATTATACAAATAATTATTTAATTGTAATTTCAATGCCCTATCCTATTTATAGATGTTCTCAGTTTTTGCTGTTTCATGTGTACTAACTTTGCAACCTTTAAACTCCTTCAGAATAGAGACTGTAATCTGTATTCTGTCTCCACTCTCCATTGCCAGGTGTGGCCATGTAAAAAATCGAGAAAACAACAGTATTTGGTAGATGAATAGGACCATGAAACGTGGAAGACCTTCTGAAAACATGTTGAAACCCATTTATGAGCCTTTTGACCATTGCAGAAATAGTTTACAAAGTCAAGAATGTGCACATTCCGGAAAGGTCAGGACTTCTTTGTATATCCTTCTCCATCCTGCTAGTGGAAATCTGTGAAATCAGACACAAGTGTCCTCTTGCTGTTCTAAGAATCACAAGAGTCAAAACCCTGCCAAGACTCTTTTTGCTTGTCCAGAAAGAGTCTTCCCACACTGCTTGAGCTGTGGATGCTTCCAGTTCCTGCATAAGAGCAGTTCCCATCTCCTCTGATAACCTCTGATAGTCAAGAAATGCAGACATGGTGGTGACTGTCCGTAGATGGGGACCTTGGCTAATCCCTTACATCTGGTTAAGGGTCTGGTCCATTCCAAGGAAGGCACATAGCATAGCCAGTTCACTGTCAGCTGATGGTCACGAAAGAAAAGTAATGTTTTCTAAAATCTAATTTCGTCTAGGAATGGAGATGATCTTGAACAGATTAACATGCTCCACTCTGCCCAAGCAAACAACAGGAGTCCATGTGTCAAGTCACATCCTCATTAAATTTTCAAAAACCCAGACAACCCGTTCTGTCTCTCTTCCCAATCGTTCAGTGCTGTCCACCTGGTCTTATTAAATCCCCACTGGAATCCACACAAATGACACCAGTTCCCGGGCCTCACGTTAATTCAAAGCTCAATTCCTTTCAGATTGATTTGTAATTTGCATTTTTGCAAGAACAACAGCAGTCCAATTTCTCTTTCGTGGTAAACTTAGGAAAAAAATAGTCTGGCCCCTATTTTGAGCTATTTGTTCTTGGAAGAAAGACAGTGTACCATTCAAGGCATCATCAATATTAAGAGTTATTGTATGCAAGTTGTCTTCTAC